AGAATTTCTCACCCTATTTTCTATCACGGTATTAAAGTTCAATATATAATAAAACGATATTTCATGAATTGTATATAATTAATTAAGGTTGCTAATGGAGGCCGAATCTGATATATTTTTCGGTCAATTGTTGATTGATCTATTTTACAGTTTAGAATGCAATATGGTATCTAATGTATTTATTTTATGGTTTCGTGTGCATGAATCACGGTTTCGTTTATTATGGTTTGAATTATTGTGAACCCATTGTTGTCTTGTTTGGTGTTCATTATTGGTTTACGTGTTTATGTTTGATTGGATAATGAGACCAAGAAAAATAAAAAAAAGTATGTGGATTGATAAATGGATAATGGCTATAGCCTTACTAGATATCTTGGGAGATGGTGGATGGACCGAGTCCGTAGGGAACCCTACCGGGAACGTGGTTTTTCATACCGGACGAGGTATGGAGACTTTATGATTTGACGCCCATACCAGACGAGGTATGGGGATGACCCGTTTCACCCTCATACCGGACGGGATATTGAGGTTCATGGTTTTTAGGCGCCCATACCGGACGGGGTATGGGGACGGCCCTAGAATTAAGTTATTAATGTTAATGGTTCACGTGTAGCGGGGACCCCTATGGATCCCCATGGATACTAGTAGGCTGGTAAAAGATGAAATTTATTCTTTCATACATGGAATACGTTTATGGTTATTGTGTAAGGAATGTTAATCAGAATTTTTATTTCGCTTTCGCATTTAAAATTTTTAATACATACATCTTTATTTAAATTTTTAGAACCATTACACTAACTTTATTAATCGCTTATGTATTTAAATTATAAATTTATTTTTTTTAAGGTTGCAAGTCTTTACAATATTTCCTTAATTGTAATTCATTACGTACCTCAAAGAGATCACGCCAAAAAGAAAACAAGGGAATCAAACAAAAAGAAAACAAGAGAATTAATAAGTTGATTGAGCTCCACTGAGTAAGCTATGGAGTTGTGTGTGTGCGTGTAGACAAATATGTGTGGCTAATATATATATATATATATATATGTTAGACTGGGCTTTCAATAAAAAATCTAATTATTACATAATATTTTATTTTCTTATAATTATAATAAATTTATTAAAATTTAATTCAACTAAATCATAATGCTTAATTAGAATATTAATAAATTAAAATTTTAATTTTATTAAATTAAATATTATGAATTAATCCTTAATAAATTATAAAATATTTGCAACATGATGAATTTTATGTTTTAAATAAAATTTAAATTTATTATTTTTTAGTAAAAATATAAATATTTTAATTATAAAAAAAAATTATTTCACTTACAAATATGATAAGACTTATTAACATTTAATTTAGTTTGGTCTATGTAACTTTATTAATAAATTAGTGATTTAAAATTTTTAATTTTATTAAGTTAAATATTATAAATTAATTAATGTTTACTAATAATATATCAACAACGCGGTGAACTCTATTTTTTTCAACGGATACCTAATAAAATACAAACAGTTTAACTCTTAAGATATTGCTAGTGTGACCTCTAGGCTTTAGCCAAAATAGACTAGCCCTGTCAAAGGCGGAGTCAAGCAGGCGAACGCACAACCCACCCATTTTAACAACTCTATTTAAGAAAAATAAAATAAAAAATAGACGTATATTTTAATATATAAAATAAAAACAATTTGTAACAGCCCCGGAAATTTAAAATAGAATTTTATATTCAAAAAGATCAAATGCGGAAGCGAGATCAAAATTTCAGTTAACATCCCTTACACGAAAACAAAAAACGTACTTAAAATATAAAAGATTAAACTAACTAAGAGAGAAACTCGAAAATAAAACTATGAGTATGACTACGAGTCTCTAGCATCCCCTTCGTCGTCTCTGCGAACGGGCTCGGGAACATGTCTCTGATCTGAATGT